TTTCGGCTCCTCTTAAAGCCCATCTAAATAGATCTCTCAATGTCGCAAAACTATCCTTGTTCTCAAATAGACGGCTCGTCTGTCGCAATCTTGAAAGCTCCTTATACACGTTGACAATCCTCTTGCAGTCAGAAGGCGCAGTGTATAAACTGCGCTTCTGTAGAATGATCTCGAGTTCATCTTCAGGGATGTCATCAAAATGGAGTTCGAGGAATCGGTTCCGAAAAGCTCGTGAAAGCACCTTTCGGCCTCCGTATAAGCCAGGCGGGTTTTGAGTTGCAAACAACATGAAATTTTCATGCGGCCGAACAACTTCCTGGGTTTCAGGAATAAGAAGTTCGCGATTATCGTCAAGGAGACGATTTAGCGCCTCTAGAACATCAGTAGGCGCGAGGTTGAGTTCGTCAAGTACAATCCAGTGTCCCTGTCGGAGAGCTTGTACCAGCAACCCTTCTTGAAACCGTAACTTTCCTTCAGCATCAGAGATATAGGTTCCGAGGTACTCCTGAAGATCTGTATGCTCGTGGTTATTGATTCGCACGAACTTGTTGCCGCTGAAATTTGCAAGATATTCGATCATACTGGTCTTGCCTGCTGACGTAGGACCTTGGATGAGAATTGGGAAACGTCTAGTTGAAGTAGCTCTCACCAGGTTCAAGAGGTTGCGCTCGATGTAAGGCGTGATAATATAGTCAGTTCGCTCAATAGGAGTTTCTTCTCCCCGAAGTAACCAATACTGTCGATCCTTATTCCTGTTCATAAACTTGACGTATTGTTTTCCATCATCAGGATATCTTGGTGGCTGCGAGAGTAGTGACCTAGCGCCACCATATCTATCGAGGAGATGGTGGTGGATCAATGGCACGAGCGTCTCTTCGGACGCTCTATCCAATAGTGTGAGGAAACCCATTGAGAACCCCTCATATAAAGCTCGTCGAAGACCATAAAACGGAGCGACATCATTCACGTAACTCAAGACACGAGTCAGTGTTCGTAAACTGAAGTGAGGTACTTCATTAGCGCCGTCAACCAAACGTTTCTCTTCTGCGCGCGTCTTAGTGTTCAGATATAATCTGGCAATATCATCTGCGGCCTGATCATCTTTGACACTCTTCCCACTTAGATAAGCCCTGATTATTATTAGAAGGTCTTTTAAGTCCTTGTCTGGGCTGCTGACGTAGAATTCCGTGAAGCGTGATCTCAGTCCAGGGGGAAGGTCACGCTTGCCAATATCTGTGGCTGGATTCATGGCTCCGAATATACGGAAGTCCGGATGCGCTTTAACACGCTCTATATCGCCAGTTTCCGATAGCAGGATTGAAGGCTCCTCATTAGGTCCGGAAGTAAGTAGATCAGCTATGCTCTCCAACGTATCGGGCGATGCGAGGTTAATTTCATCCAGTAAAACCCAATCTCCATTTCGTACGGCCTTGACAATATTACCCTCCACAAATGAAAAAGCGAAACTGCCTGAGCCTCCCGAGATTTGGATATCGAACTGCTCCAGACTCCGAGAAAACGCCTCCCAACGCGGCCTCAGGTCGAGTAACGACTGCAGCCTCGACTCTACTTTACGTCTCTTGACAACAGGTTGCCCATCAGAATGACCACCGTTAGGGGCATTGGCTTGGATCTGAAGTTGGCTCACAATCTTATTGAACATAGTCGGTGCTTCCCGCCACAGCTTCGATACCTTTGTCCATTGGCCTTTCGCAGCACACTTGCCGATCTGTTCCAGATATTTCTGGTTCTTCGACGCGGAGATTCCCGTCGAAGCAAATAGGTCCTCGAACTCTTCTTTCAGGGGGATGGCAAGACTCCGGGCATTCACCGGCTTAAAGCCACCTAAGAGATCACCAGCTTCGCTTTGCTGGGACAGATTCACAGCCACAAGCTTATGACCAAGAGACTCGGCCAATTGTTGGATAACAGTCGTCTTTCCAATACCAGTCTCGCCTACGAGAAGCACGGGCTCGCGCAGTTTGACAGCCATTGATATTTGTTCGAGTAGCCTCCTAGAGTGACTAGTGCACGCGAAAGGTTTTCTTGACTTGATCACTCTATTAGCATGTTTTCTTCTAGTCAGCATGACTCTTCCGACTTTGAAACTACTAGGGCTTTCCTCTATCTGTGGTACATGAACTTTGAGATAGTGTTCTGTAAGTTGTTGCGAAAGATGCATTTCCTCGGCAATGCAGCTGACAAGAGTAGCTCTTGCTTCCGGCTTGGAAAGGTTGCCACAAAAGCAATCAACCGCGTCCATGAACATCCAGTCTCTTGTTGTCTCGCTTATGGGCTCGTCGCCAAGCTTGCAGCCTGAGGCTACGAGGGTTTCGTTAAGGCGGCGGCACCATTTCAAGACATCCCTAGGCGTGACGGAACGCTCTACTATGCTCCGCCCGGAGTTGCTCACATGCGGGAGACTGGATAGATGGCAAAGACGCCTATAGACTGACATAATCATCGGAGTATATTTGTGTAGTAGATGGTAACTTCCGACGATGATGTACTCCAGCTCAACTGGTGGAGGCATCTTTACGCTGGACAGATTCCAAAATCGCTGGCCTAGTATACTGGGGAGATTTTCCTGCCCATTCATTCCTCGTGTTGTCCGAACGGTCGCAAACAGTCGAAAACTGCTCGGAGCCTCTACCGTCTCACCACGACTAGGGATAAGCAACTTGCCATGCTCCACTAAGGGTAGCAGAGTACTCATAACCTCATTCGGCGCTCTGTCCAAATCCTCGATTAGAACCCAGCGTCCTTCGTGAACAGCTGTTGTGAGAACACCTGGCCTCCATGAAAAGGAACCAGGTTTGGAGCCTGTGGAGTATAGGCCAATGAGCATTTTAGCATCTGTTTGTTCATTCAGATGCAAAGTTACCATGCTCGACTCCATCTTAAGTTCGCGGGCAAGCTCATGTACTATATATGTCTTCCCAGATCCGGGCAATCCATGCAAAAGTATCGGCCCCAATCGCTGGAGATTCTGTGCGAGGTTTTGCAGGTTAGTTAAGGTAGTAGGAGTTTGCACCAACCTAGACATTGCACGGGATGGGCCATTCGGTCGGGGAAGGATCGTCGTATTGTACTGAATAACTATGTCCTCGAGTGCCTGGGGGTGGAACTGCTCTCCTTTATAGTTTCCAAGTTTGGCATGTATCTTCTGTCGAGATTTATCCCATTCTTCTGCTCGTTGACGCTCAACTAATGAGAGAAAAGTGTAGTCAACTTGGACTCCGTCGAAATCTCCAACTAGAGACTCTTCATGTTTAATATGCTGGCGGATAAGCGCCTCCAAGTTAAAATCGGAAGCATTGAGCTGGCAACAGAACACTCTAATAGCAAGATACCTGACGGAGGCATGACCGTGCTTAAATAGATGTTGTATTCTGGAAGGTAGAACTAATTGGCTGAAGGTTTTCTTGTCAAAATTCAAGAGTCTCCAGAGAGCAAGTAAAATATGTTGTAAGTCATGTATAGCAAAGTTCTCGGTAGGTCGCGTGTTGAGTGAGTTGATTCCGAAGGTGTGTAGTTCAGAACCGAGTCTATAAGAGGTTTCTCCAATATACCGTTCCAGGAAAACGGATAGGTATGGCGCAAACGGGAGGATTCTCGCAAAAGATGCGATAATAGGATCTTCTTGTCCTTGATCTCGTGGTCTTATCAGCCATCTTGCGCATATCTCGGAAATCTCGCTCTCAAAATGGGTAAATATAAGTCCAGTAAATCTAGGAATCAGTGCCGCCGTAGCTATAGCATCGAGAAAATGTGCAGGGGTGAGACCATCGCGAATTACTTCCAATAAATCAGGCGGTAATTGGGCTAGCAACTCTTTATGAGTTAAGAGCTGCTCCCTCTGTGCGCTTACATCGACAGTCGGCATGGCTGCTGTAAAAATGCCGAAATCGTGTTGCGCGCGTTTGTAAGTCGATTATTCGTTTTCTTGGGATTTCATCTCTGCACGCCGCGAATAAAGTCAATTGAGATAAGACTTATCGTAACTTTTTCTGCCGTTGTCCAAAAATTTAGAAATTTAGGCGGTGAATAACTCGGAACGGAGCTGTTTGGCACCGCCACTAGTAGCGGGGGACCCGCCAAAAACTGGCAGGGTCCGGCAAAGCTTCGCCAAATCGAAATCAATCGTGCATTAAAAACTTCGAAGAGCGAAGAGCATCACGAAGCGTTCCGCTAAGTCAAAGGAGTCCACCCCCCCAGTCAATTCGCAGTTTGGTCAACGAGGAAGTCGCCAAAGATGTCGACACCGTGCAGGTATGCAGCTCGAAGCTGCGCGCGGTCAATTCGCTCTAGCAACTCTTTCCGGGTATCGGCTTCATTCGTTCAGAGCACTCCGTCGATACAGCGGCGGCACGAGTCTACCGCAGCGGCTACGAACCCGAAGATTTCCGGTATCGTTGACCAGATCAGCCAATTGACCCTCCTCGAGACCGCCGACCTTGTCACCAGCCTAAAGGTTAGCCCTACTTCGTTAATATAGGCTTTCTGGTTCTATTTGCTGATATACCATATAAGTCCCGACTTAACATCCCCGATCTACCAGTTGGTGGCTTCGCTGCTGCCCCCGCCGCTGCCCCCGCCGCTGCAGAAGAGGCGGACGAACCCGCGCCAGCTGCTCAGGAGAAGACCCTATTCAACATTAAGCTGCAAGCATTCGACACTGCCGCGAAGGCAAAGGTTATCAAGGAGGTCAAGGGCTTATTAGGGCTGAGCTTAGTCGACAGCAAGAAGTTCGTGGAGAGCGCGCCCAAGATGATGAAGGAATCGGTACCAAAGGAGGAGGCCGAGAAGATCGTGGCTACGATGAAGGAGCTAGGAGCTACCGTTACTATGGAATGATTCATCTAAACTCGGAAGGCAACACGAACGATGCCGTATATACATGTAACCTAAACCTGTATAACAATAGTTACAAAAAGCCCTGGAAAGTCAACTTTTCGGATGGTAACAAAAAAAACGCCAATCTTAGGGGTTTATTGTTTTTTTTTTTTGTCTATTGATGATAGATTCTAAATATCTATCTGGGAGTATGTCTAGAATGTGCTAGTATTCTCTCTAAAGGGTATTACAAACCTCCTGAGATAAAGACATGAAGAGCAACATATCCCTCACTATCTCCTATCCTCTAAGACTGCAGCTTCTTTCGAGAAAAACTCCCGCTTAGCCCATTAGCCAGGAGATAAATCGTTCTCAACATCGGCACAGCCAGCCCCTTCTTTCTCGCAAGTCTCACCACATTGCCCACAATAGCATCAACCTCCATACTCTTGCTCTCAAACGCATCTCCTAGCATGGACGGTTGTACTCCAGGCAGGTCGCGTACAACAGCGCGTCCAATCTGGAAATCCACCACCTCTTCATCCACATCGCTGTACCCGTAAGCCTGTGCTACAGACGCGATCTCCAACATGACGTCTTTTACAAAGCGCACGCCGTCACCCCACTTGTCTTCTGCGCCCAAGTCTAAACTCAAGCTCACTTCGACGAACTCCCGGTCCCTCAGCCGAGTGAGCGCGCATATGGGATTCCAAGAACCATTGACGAGCAGCTTGCCCCAGCGCTTGTGCTGTACATCGTCGTGTAACTTAGCCGTGGCGCCTCCTTTCCCAAGGAGCTCTACGAACTCCCGCGCTGCTTCCTTGTGTTTCGTCGGAGCAGCAGCCGGATACGTGCCCACGTGCAGCGTCTCGACTTCCTTGTGGTGCACAACGCCAGGCGAGACCTGGGTAGCCGGGAAGTATGCCACGGTGCTCAACAGCGGGTTATCCGGGTAGAGTTGCGCATACTCGTCCTCGATCCCAATACCATTCTGCAACAGCACAATAGCCGTCCTGCCCTTCGCGATCGCGGGGCCAATCAGTTCCTCTATCGAAGGGTCAGTAGGCACGACCTTGGTAGCGACAACCACAAAGTCGAAGAATGGTTGCGCGTCCAAAGCCAACTGCTGCACGGCTTCGGCAACGGACCTCGCGATGCGGGGTTGGAAATGGAGGTTATCGCCCCACAGGTTCGAGTGGATCGTGAAGCCGTTCCGGGAAGCGAACTCGTAGTTAGATCGGCATATCGCGGTGACGTTGTCCTGTCCAACCGCGTTTGATAAGGCCCAGGCATAGCAAGTCCCGAGACTGCCGGTGCCGAATATCAATACTTTCGGCATAGCTTAGGTTTGCGTATGAGCAACGTGAATAGTCACTTTTAGGTAGTTAACAAAGTTGAAAAATCATAGAAGCTGCTTTACAAACAAGCTACAGCTAGTAGTTGTCTCCCCTCGCTTAAATAAGACACATATATGCACTTACCCCCAGTTATATCCCCCAACTCTTAATGAGTATAAGCCGAAACTAATTATCGTCAACTTACAATTCTATAACGCGGCCACTGCACAATATTACGCTCGGCTCACCTGTAATTATAGAGTCAGATAAGAATAAGAAGTAACATTTCGTGTAATTTGAATTAGTCCGGAATCAACGTGAATTTTGGTATCATCAAATGCAGGCCGCCTCCGATCAGCCAGATATGCCATAAGGAACACCATTTTGATCGCCATGCTTCCCGGCCATGTACAGTACAAAATCATCGCAACATGCTTCGACCCTTTCAAATGGAATACGGGGCAAATGCCACCACTCAACTTCCAGATCCTCTCAAAATTGGAGATTAAAAGCAACCAAAAACGCCATTTTTATGCCGATTTTCCTTTCTTATGAACGCCACGCGATGCATTATTAGTTGACAGCGCCAGGAAGCGGTTGTTTAGATGTTCCATGCAACGACGCTTCTTTCGAGACTGTCGGCGTCTTATTGTTGCCCTCTGGGATTTGCTAAGTCGGCTGGGCGACGCGTCCTAGTGCGATGAAGACCCATTGGTGGTAGCATCTCTTTGTCGGAGATGGTGACATTTGCTCATCTCAGCTTCCCGCTGAAACTCCTCCCACTCTTCGCGGCCTAGGATATGATCATCTTCTCCAAGATCGCTCGTTTCTTCGAGAAGCTTCATTGCCTCCTCCTCTATGGTTCCGGGAACCGCCCACATGCTCTCGCGCATACGCTTGTGTCGCTCACGATCCTCTTCGATGCGCTGCTCAATCTGGCGCTTGTCGAGACGGTGAGAACTAGCAGCACCGTTGCCATTACGCGAACGAGAAGCGTCGTCGCCATTGGCGGGTGAAGAGAAGCCAAGGTCAATGGAGGTATCGCGCTCTTTAAGACAGCCTTCAATCTCGAGCACGGTCTGTTCGAGCAGGATAGACTTGTTCATTAAGCTTTGAAGCACCTAGGTATTACTGTTGTGAGCATTCTATATTATGGCTTTCAACTCCACTCAAACACTGAAACTTACCCGTCGGACAACTTTGACATTGGCAGCACCAGATCCATCTTCCGGACAGACTGCATCGACAACTCGAATGATATCTCTCTGCATCATTCGGACATACTGGTTCTGGCGATCCTTTGATGCCATCTCCAGCAGGTGGTCCAAAAAGTACATGATGTTTGCACGTGTATTCATACTAGTCTATATTACAGAGTTAGCCGCTTCTTCAATATAGATTTGCTCGCTCATAAAGCTCTAACGCGGCTTCCGACAAGAAGGACTTATGAAGGCAGTATTACAAGACTCGATGAGATCAAATCAAGGTGAAAGCTCATTGGAATGAGAATAGAGCAGATAATAAACCAGACTGAGATGATATAGACATCTATAAAAGTAAGTAAAAATGCTAGATGAGGCTCACCTTCTCAAGCTGCTCGAGGATACAGGAGTGCAGGTCCTCCTCCATATCCTTGTACTTCATTGCATACTGGGCAGCTTTCTGGGCAGCGGTAGTGCTTGCATTCAAGTGTTGAAGCTGGCCGCTAAAGCGCATCCGAACTTCGAAAGGATCCGCCGCCATTGTGACATGGCCCAGAATCGGAAAATTTACGGAAGGTTGTTGGATGGAGGAAGATGAAATTGAGAGGCAAGGCTGACGAGCCGCAACATTGAAATTGGAAAGAGAAGCTCCATTCGTTATCGATCCCTGGATTGCGGTTGGCTCTTGCCCCAATGGTAAAACAAAGTTACGCTAGTGTAGTACCAAGCCTAAAGGGATTAGCTTGTACCTGGCGCTAAGCGAAATCAGGAAGCATAGTGAAAGGTTGGTAATATCCACTCTATCCTTATCGTCCCCGCCATTCTTGACTTATTAAGATATGTATTCATCTAGTTATGTAGTAAAGCAGCTTGAACTTTGAGAATAAACAACGAAAAGCCAACTGGTACTTGGAAGTTGGTTATAAAAAAACTACCTAACCTACCTTTAGGTTCTTATTCACAACAAAATATTAATATATTAACAGGTATACATATGTATGTAACGAATATACTAAAATGCTAAGCTATCAGTCACCTTAACAGCTAGCAAGAATAAATTCACATAAGCAAAAACGCTAACTACCTAGGTACCTAACCAATTAGACCCCTTAAAATCACAGCTGAACCAGGGCTGAAAAACCCCCCAGTGGACAGCAGCGGGTAGAACAGGTTTGTCGGTGCTACTTCGGTAAAGGCAACCGGGGAACGAGAATAACCATCATCTTGTCGAAGCGGTTCTTCTTCTTCGTACATAGGGGGCTTACTTTTTCTGCCAGGGCAATGTGACAAGTGTCCTATGATGATGCAGTGAAACTTGAATTGTTTCTTTGGTTGGACTCTGTGATTTTATTTTATATTATCTTATTTGCCTATGTTCCTGAAGGAAGTTCTGTATCCGCACTGGTCTTAAACCTGCGCCTACGCCGGTTGTTGCTTTTGTTTGCTGTTTTTGGAGAAACCTCAAAAACCTCAAAAAAATAAGTTGCAATAGACACCCAATTAATCGGCTTCTCAACACCATGTTGGCCCTCACCCACCACGAGCATAATGCGCCGGAGTTGACCTTGGCGGTTCTTGGCTGCGGTATGTCTTGAATTAGTATTCCGCTGTTTAAATTGACAAATTAACGTGTCTCAGGAACCATGGGAATCGCCATTCTCTCCGGCATCCTGTCTTCCCTGCAGGAGATGTCAGGGCCTCGCCCCCTGCAGACGCCCTCTGGGAGATCGACCCCCGCCGACGAGATCCCTGCCCGACTCCCCTCCCGCTTCATCGCGTGCGTGCGCCGGCCCGAGTCCGCCAAGAAGGTCAAGCAAGCTCTGTGGGAACACAGCTCTTCGGTCAAGGTGGTACAGAAGGAGAATGTCGCGTCCGTTATGAAGAGCGAGGTCATCATCCTTGCTTGCAAGCCTTATATGGTTGAGGACTTGCTTAACGAGCCCGGCCTGTCGAAGGCGCTCCATGGCAAACTCCTCATCAGCATATGCGCAGGTGTGACGGTTCCCCAGATCGAAAAGATACTCCACGGTGCTGTGCCCGAGAAGGACCCTGAAGTTGATGGGCGCTGCCGGATTGTGAGGGCGCTGCCCAACACGGCTAGCATGGTCAGGCAAGGCATGACAGTAGTTGCGAATAGCGAGCCGCCCCTATCAGCTCATACCTCGAGCCTCGTGACATGGATCTTCAAGCGCATTGGCGACGTCATCTATCTTCCCGCCAAGAACATGGATGCGTCCACAGCACTTGCCGGGTCCGGACCAGCATTCTTCTCCCTCGTACTTGAGGCTGCCGTTGACGGGGCAGTTTCCCTAGGCGTACCTCGAGCTGAGGCCCAGAGGATGGCTGCCCAGTCCATGAAAGGCGCTGCTGCCTTGGTCCTTAATGGAGACCACCCAGCTCTGCTCCGGGACAGGATTAGCACGCCAGGCGGCTGCACTATCGAGGGTCTCTTAGTACTTGAGGAGGGACGAGTACGGGGCACTATGGCCAAGGCCGTGAAACAAGCTGCAATTGTTGCCAGCCAGCTAGGCAAGGGCACTTAGAGAAGGTATGAATTGGCACAAGGGAAAGTTTTGATGTGTGCATATGGATGGCGTTCAAGGCGTTTTAAGTAGACTAGAACGTCAAACGAGATAGTTCATGCAACGGCTTACTATTTCCTTTATCCTCTCCCCCCTTTACTTATCTTACAAGTAACTGCTACGTACCCATGGGTGGAGAGTGTGATCGAGATATTATAATCAGATGTTGACCAGTCCAGTCCCCGCCAAGGTAGGGAATACAAAAATGCCCCTAGAATATACACATAACGTACCTAGGTATCATGAGACCCCCCGAAACTCCTTACTATATTAGCACCATGAACCAACCTCCTTATTACCAAAATACTAGAATTTTATTGCTCTTGTTCTTCCTCTGCTTCCTCGACACGTGCCTTCTTGCTGGGAAGGTTTTCTGTACTGGGGCCGCCGGTGAGCCTCCTTTTACCATTAGTAGCCACAGGCTCGCTAGCGACAACGGGCGGCGTCGACTCAAGTCGGGCTAGAATCCTAGCATATTCCCATTCCACATTGTCCACAGTTTCGTTCAACTTGATGATTCGCTCTGTGATCTCGAATTCGCCCAAGATAGAGACGTTGCGGCGATATAGACGTTGTTTGAGAAGTAAGCGCCACAGCGTGTAGGCATGTTTGTCGGTTTTCGACGGGGACGGTTTTTCAGTTTCGTCATCTGCTTGAGGTCGGACGGAATCGGGCAACTTCGACATGAGATGCATTTCGACGAGACGCCAAAATTGGCGGGGTGCAATTTTGGTCTTAATTCGAAGATTCTCCAGCTTTACAATGTCAACAATCCCACCAATCGATGAGGTTTCGTGAATAGAAGGGGTTATTTGCGTGTTGTTGCGCAATATACCACCCTTCGCGGGAACTGGTACGTCGGTGTTAACTGTTAAATTGGCAAATTCGGGCACGTTCTTGCGTAGATATTTCATATCACATAAATCTCGGAGTAGATCAAAATCCTCGTTAGGGTCCTCTACCGTCACCTCCTTCGTCGCAGCAGCATTCATCGCTATCTCAAACATGGTGTTGTAAAGGAAAGCGCCAATCCCTTTCCCCTGGAAAGGGGGGAGGATCAAGAACTGCGAAATTCTCATGCGATGAACGAAGTCCGCAGCAGGAAAGTCACCCTTGAGAAGCTCCCACGAGTCATCCGTTTTCTCGTTGCTCGGCGAAGACGGCGGCGTGGGTTGTTGGAACATCCAGAAGTTGTAGGTTGTTGCGTAACCCTGGAACGTATACTGAGGATTACCCTCGGCTTCAGGGCTAGGTGTCTTCTTATAAACGAAGAAGACGGTCCATCTAGCCAGAGAATATTCCGGCTCGTCATTTCCCTCTTCATCTACACCTACATAGGATCCACCTTCGATATAAAATAGAACGGTAATCTGGATGCGCTTGACTAACTGACGAATCTCGGGTTGAGATAAAGTCCCCTGCCAGATTTCGTAGATTTCGCCATTCCTCTCTAAAGTCTTGGTCAGGGTTCCAGGAGGGGTCCATGTATCGGGGAGACTTTTCACAGCCTGGTCGTATTCTTTCTTAGATTGGTATGCGACTGTAGATTGTTAGTAACCTAGGTTATCCATAGGTTATATAAAAGCCACATGTGTAGGTAGCATACCTGCAGGCAAGTATTCCTTCATAGTAAGCTTCACATCAGCAGCCTCGACGTCGCCAACCTTAATGAACTTTTTCGTTGAGGATACCGAAAGATTCGGTCGCAAGTCCCTCGCATCAAATTGCAAATCGACCTTTAAGCCCTTGTGTCCGAATATGCGCTCCTCCTCGCCAAAGACGGCGTAAGTATGTCTCGGTTTGAAAAACGCGATCTTTTCGATTCCTGATGAGGTAGGTCGCATGAGCGACATGGTGAGCGCCTCGTTGGCATCGATCGTCCCTAGGCATCAAATCAGTTTAGATCCTTTCCGCGACAATGAATAAGTTGCCTACACTCGTCCTCCATCTTGCCTTATCTAAAAGCTTACGGCGCAATACCTATCGGTAATAAGCAGCGGGTAAAATTATATGACGCCAATGAAGACTCGTGTAAGGTCCTACCGAACCGACTGCCTTGATATGTAGGTATGAAAAAGGGAGGTGTATGAAAACTTAAAAGTAGTTGAATGCCGGCACTTAACGCGCTTCCAGGAACTTGAGCGTCGCGTTAAACCGATTTGATAGAAACAGCGCGCTCGTCTTAGTGGAGCGCAAATGCGCACGGACCAATGTTACGGCTAGGTACATCCGTATGTAACAAGACAGATCTTTCGGAGGCTTTTTTCCCTTTTTTTAACTGGAAGGACCAAACAAGGCCTTGTCTAGGTAGTCTGCTAGTCTGCTAGTCTGCCAAGAATGCCAAGCAGCCCAGACATTAGCTTGGGGTCTAATCCATTCTCAGACTTAGCGTAGTACTTCATAAGGTACCACTCAAGATGGAAAAGATGGAAAATCGGCAGTGACGTGCGACGGTCCCGCCTAAAAAGCAAGTTGCAACAGGGATAATTAGATTTTAGTGGTCGCTTAATTGAACTGTAACGGCTCTGACACTTTTGAGGCTACCGTCGCAAAAAAAGATATCCAACTTCCACCTCGCTCTTCATCTTAGTCTCAAGCATCTTTTCAATTGCTATACGCAGCATTCTTCAACACCAAGGGTCGGGTTATCTACCTCATAGATAGCCTCCCTTCCTCGTCTTGAGGCATTGCCCCTGACCATACGCGGACTTAGCACCGGTCAAGATTTACACCAATGAATCGGTAACAAGCAATTATCCCTTAGGTGCTTCCTCTAAGTGAACGCAGTAACCATGGCGGGAACTGGAGTTTTCATTCTACTTGCCCTAACGGTATGTTCAAAAATACTCGTCCCAGCTGTCAGCTATGATTCAATTGCTGACTTTATTTCAAATCATAGGTGGTTATGGCACTGGCGTAAGTTGTTGTCTCCTGTTCGACACAACCCCCAAGTTCGAAAATTGACGAAAAGCAGTTCCTTTCTCGCCGGCGCACTACCACTATCCATGTCCCTTACCCAGTCACAGCTCCGACTGATTTCAAGTATCGGCATAGGTATACTAGTCGG